ATTGCTGTGTTTTGGAGTTCGTTTAAAAAGAGTTATTTTAGCTCGAAACAAGCTCCTCAGTGGCTCAGTCTGAAAGTTCCTAAAAACCGAGTTTTGATACTCGTGGTAGGCACAACACAGACAGCCTATTGTGTAGCGTTTGACTCAAAAACAAACGAACAAACAAACGCCAAAGCTCTTAATATATTTTTAGAAATAACAAAAATGATTTTCATTACTTTAATTTCTTTGGTTTACATTAAAGTATTTTCAAGTTATATTTATGAAAACATCCCGTAAACTGCAGATGATTTTTTCTCCAAATTCCTGTACATTTGTATATTTTCATTACGAAATCAGAGGTGCTCAAAAAATAACATTTGAGATATTTCTGTCTCCCAACTTACTGTTCTAGAGTCCATCCGTTCAATACCATAACTCGTCTGTTCTTTACACTTTTATTCTTTAGAATATGAAATGCTGAATTAAAGAAAAAAATGTGGGAAAAACATCTGCAGTTTACATTATATTTACCAGAAATGATAGGAGTTTTTTTTCAATGTTTCGCGAGATTTTGGCGTTCAGACCAATAACTTTAAGTTTTCAACTTCCCTAGAAATTTTTTCAACGATCGTTATTGGGTTGTAGGTGTGATCAACAAAGGAAAAGATAAAGTCATGCAAAACTGCGTTCATATATTGTTGTACAGCATTGTTTGATTATCATTATCTTTTGCTTAAATATTCTCTACATTATTGCACTTGCTATTGTAACTAATGGCCAATAAATCACTAATTACATGATTAGTCTAGGGCTGCGTTTCTCAAACTTTAGTAACCCCGAAGACCCTTTTTAATTTAAGATTTTTTCGCTAACCCCCAAACATGTCGATGATTTTTGTTTTGAACAAAGAGATTTCATGCATATGAAAAACTGTATTCCAAAATTAAATGTTGTAATTCATATAAATTCAATTTTACGAAAAAATATTTTTGTGAAATTTTTGACCTAAGGTTTGTGTATTTTTGTTTCATGTGCTAGTACAAAGCTCACAAGAGCTGTCTGCGCTAGCCGTCCGTTATTTTTAACTAGTAGATTTTTACTAGAGGCAGATCAGCTACTCAACATAACCCACTACCAACTCATAGGTATGATAATTGAATATTGCCTTCACTGTTATAACGCACCCACGGCCCCAAAGTGCGAACTGTGTACTGTTGATTAATAGGCCAACAAGATAACCATTAAGCCATGCCCGTCTCTGAGGTTCATGTATCTTTTACTGATGTGGCGTTATAAAAAAAGATATTAAAGTGTTCAAATGTCGTAAGCGAAAATATTTAGACAAGATAGTTATATTTTGATAATACTTTAACTAAACAAAAATATTCATTTTTAGTTATTGAATTGAAGATTGAGTATGCCTTGAACTTATTACGCACATTTTAAGAATAATTATACTAAATAGTCTAATTTAAACTAGATTGTCTTCCTATTTGCTGCCATTGAAAACTAACTTAATGATTTCAGCAAAGTACAGTCAAAGTAAAAATAATCGTACAATCAAGCTCAAATATTGTCAACACCAATTTGTGAAACTTGGCAAGTATCTACCGTTTACTTGTACACACTATGTACAAATGTCAGTACATTTAATTAAGTGTTTTTGTTTCTACTAAATTAAAAGTAAATCACTACATTTAAATAATTTATGCTTCTGTTCCGCGCTTTTTCGTGTTTTACCCAGAATACAGTATTCAAAGAGCGTTAATTCAATATATACCAATACTTTGAGAGTAATAACACGTAAATCAGATATGAAAGAATGCTTTGTTGTTAAGCTTCACAATGTGTTCTGCCCAACATGGGTATCGGCACCCGGTTTTTTAGCGTTATAATTCTCCAAACTTACCCTTGAGCCACTGGGGAACTACAGAAACGACAGCTAAAAAATGATAGAAAATAATTCGAATATAGTAGTCTGATTTTCAAGATTTAGTTTATTGTTTAAAAACCTCTGAATACTTACTGATTTGAGTGCTACGTGAACAATTGTTATGTTATTTTGTTGTTTATTGATATAATTTAAGTTTCATAGATCTTTTTTAACAAACTTATCTGTAGGACAACATTTTATATTTAGTGTTACTGCGAATGCAAGAACTGTGATAGGTTTTAAATAGTTTTCTTTATAAAGTAATCCTGAAAGCCTTTGCTAATTTATCCAACAAAAAAATAGTACACTCTTAAATCACTTCTTGGTTGATGTTTCTTTATGTAGCATATATGATATTAGTTAAAAAACAACAACACATAATCGTTTTCTTCGGATTGTTTAGAGTAAAAGTCATTCTACATGTTACACTACACAACATAATAAATCACACAACTATGACATATTTGAAAATGAAGGTTCTGTATTGATCAAGGAGTTCTTTCTATTCTTTAATACGCTGGGCTGAAATAGTAAGATAAATATTTATTTCAATATGTTATAGTATCGAGATTCATTCTAAAAATGATCTTCTGTTTACGACTTCTACATAATGTCGTGGTGTCCACACACGAATTAACTTCTACATAATGTCATGGTGTCTACACATGAGTAACCTCTACATAATGTCATGGTGTTCACACAAGAATTAACCTCTACGTAATGTCATGGTGTCTACACAAGAATTAACCTCTACATAATGTCATGGTGTCTGCACATGAGTAACCTCTATATAATGTCATGGTGTCTACACATGAGTAACCTCTACATAATGTCATGGTGTTTACACATGAATAACCTCTACATAATGTCATGGTGTCTTCACATGAGTAACCTCTATATAATGTCATGGTGTCTACACATGAGTAGCCTCTACATAATGTCATGGTGTCTACACATGAATAACCTCTACATAATGTCTGCACATGAGTAACCTCTATATAATGTCATGGTGTCTGCACATGAGTAATCTCTATATAATGTCATAGTGTCTACACAAGAATTAATATCTTCCAGAATGACGTCATGGCACCACATGATCTTGTTGTTTTCTTCCTAGTATGTGCCTTATTGGACGGCAGCGAAAAAATACCCCCAAACAACAAACTTGAAAATGCATTTACACTGTCGTGCTTTGGGCTGCACCAGTATACAGGGCTCACTATGGGGTTCTTATAGCATAGCCACATCGGGGTGTGTCCACCGAGGGGACAACAGGTTTCAGAATTGCGTATATCTTTTACAGATTTCCAGCTGACCCCAAAAGAAAGTTAATATGGATAGCTACGGTTACGAAGCAAAACTGGCAAACTTCACAGTATTCCCGTATCTGCAGTACATATGTTGTGAAAAGAAACAGAATAAATCTACGAAGTAATATTTGTATATTTTCAAACTTTGTCATTAAGTGTGCTGCTTAGGTATCATACTTTTAGTAATTATTGAAACTATTGAAATTTGATAAGGGCCCCTTATCATTTATACGGGCACTAACGAGTGATATATGTAATTACAATTACATAGGTATCGTCGTTAGATTAGGCCAGGATCAATCACACACCAACTGTGTCGTAGAACGAGAAGCATAGAAGTAACACCACAATGAATAAATAATACCAATGGTCGATATTGTTAAGCCCAAGTTTCATGCTTATAATAGGGAGTATGCGAAATAAATAGAAAAAAATTCGTGCAGCAAAAATCTCACCTTACAGTTACAAACAAACTTGCTATAATCTCTTTTAGTTTTACTTCTGATCCTTATCCTGCTAAGAATTTATAACCACCCCATTTTTTTTAGCATTTCATAATTGCATGAGTTAAAGTACTTGTGGAATGAGTACATAATATCACAATATTTAGATTCTGACTTTGACTTTGAATCATGATCAGACAAGTCACTGGCTTGAATAGTCGTCCAGGCCTCCTGTGAAACAATATGTGGATCGAAGATAACAGAATCATCCATATGAAATTCTCTCAACCTATTTTCTTTAACCATTTTGAAGATTCATAATGTATTCACTCAGCTTTATTGTACCGTTGTCACAAACAATTTAAACGGCTTGACGTCCAAATGGCGGATACCAATTTTGTGCTTTCCGTATAAATCGTGATGTGGAAAGGTCTGTCTTGAATTAGGTCTAAGAGTATGAAAGCAGTGATGTTTGTCCAACGTTTGGTTCGTCTCATACACATTGAATGAAATTTCTTTATACGTAAGCCAAGTGGATGAATTTCGTAAATTATTGGCTTTCTTGTAAAGTTACAGTGCTTTTGTGAAGATGTGGCGAGCTTGGCTAGACTTAATCTTAACCTTAAAATCAAGATTTCATCTATTATCAAGTGTAAGGGGACGCAATCTCTAACACTGGAACATGAAAACTTATTATGTATTTTTGCAGAATAATTACGTATAATAGATAATAATAGGTTGGCAAACAACGATTTATAAGCAGAAGTGAACATTTTATTGAATTTTTTACTAATGCTTATAAATCGTTGTTTGCCTACTATTATAATATTAGCATAATGTGCTAATAATCGTTCATATAAAGCTATTTCAACTTATTTTTATGAGCCATTTGGGCACATATTTCAACAATCGGAGGTTATTCACTAAACTTTATCGTTATTACTGACACGAAATAATGAACAACTTGACTTCAAAATGGCTGATGCCAATGTTGCACTTCCCGTACATCATGCGATCACGTAATCTAGTGTGATTTAATAAACTATATTCTTTCGTGACGGAATCGTTGAAACTTAGACCGCAGGTGTGTCACAGCCTTAAACTTTATCATTAACATTTACTTTAATTTATATGAAGTTATTACTATTTTGAACAAACAACGCACTTTTTGTTTGTGTGAAAGATGTAATCAAACTTCGTCTATATTTTTCCGAGTTATTTGTTCATCAGATTAAAACACCTGGCTATGTAACATTTTACCTTTCATTCCCCACTAATATTGTGGTCTTATCTGTATGGTCAGAGAAAAAAATAAATAAATGTCTCACACACCTGTAGAAGACCGTATCTAATCTCTATTGGCAAGAAACTGTACTCCCTAATAGTAATAGGCAGATTTTGCGGTATTCTGTCTTCTAAGCATCCAAGAACATTGGCCAGACTTCCAAACACTGGTTCTGTAGCAAAGGCAAGAGTGTCACTGGAAAGAAACAAAACAGCGGTGAACGAAACCTTTTCAAAACAGCACCATCAAACATACACATTGTTCCTGACTTGTTGAAAACGGTACCACGAAACATACATACATATTGTTCCTGACTTGTTGAAAACAGTACCATGAAACATACACATTGTTCCTGACTTGTTGAAAACAGTACCATGAAACATACACATTGTTCCTGACTTGTTGAAAACAGTACTATGAAACATACACATTGTTCCTGACTTGTTGAAAACAGTACCATGAAACATACACATTGTTCCTGACTTGTTGAAAACAGTACTATGAAACATACACATTGTTCCTGACTTGTTGAAAACGGTACCATGAAACATACACATTGTTCCTGGCTTCTCATCTATATTTGCTTGTAATTATCAAAAGCTTGATAAAGCTAAAAACAAGAAGAATCAATGAAACTTGAGGACCCAAACATCGGCAGGTATAATTCGTTAATAGTCCGGCACCACTTGATATTTACACACACAAAAAGTTAAGAACATATATGTATGATTTCCTTCCTGTTCAAAAATTTTCAGTTCCCTTTTTGATATTTCTTTTTAAATTATTTTAACTTTTTACTACCGTTTCTTAAACACTCGGGCTGAAACACTATGTTATGGAAGTTAATTTTTTCTGAGTTTAAGATTTTGTATCAGATTTCTTCACGTCCAGTTTTTATCAGCACAAGTTTAAATCAACTAAATTCCTGATCCGCATAAAACCCCTCAGACGAACTGCTCAACCAACGGGGTGTGTATGTATTACAATGTAGATTAACATCCAAAATTACTTTAAAAAATACAAAATGTAGTTCTCCAGCTGGGAGGGACATTGCTGTTGTCAACAATAAATTTTGAAAAGTCAAGGTTGAAGATCAGAACAGTTAAGATAAACTTTATGTATTACATTTTTGTCAAGTATTCATAATTGCTAGGAGTCAAGTGGGGAAGCTAGTCGAAATACGATGTTATATTTAGTATAAAACGTTATATAGATCAGTGTTAAGTTTTGTCAGTTAAAAAATCTATATTATAGGGCCGTGCGCGGTCTACTGGTTAACTACTAAGACTATGAATCCAAGAGTTAATGGTTCGTGACCCATTACTGCAAAAAACGCACTCCGCATCTTGGAACAATTGGTTAGGAGTTAATGCTGTTAATTAGCCTTCCCTCTAATCTCCCGCTTGGTGACCCAATGATATGTCTGAGAGCTTATGACAGTAAAACTTAACTTTCAATACTTGTGGTGGGCAAAGCACAGATAGCATATCGTATAGCTTTGCGCTTAGCAACAAATTAGTTCTCTAGTCTCTTAACTCAAAACTCCGGACGACTTGTATCTTTTCGTGGAAATTCTGAAAGAAAGAGACAATCTATATGTTGTTAGATTTTTTAGAACAAAGTATTACATCATGAGGAGATTTTTTGTGTGCACTATATAGTCCCCAGAAAGCAGTTTGTTTTTTACTCCGCCCCAATGCTATCACTCCATAGTTCTTTATAGAGAGAATGGGCATTTTGAGCCTTTTATTTCAATATTGCCGAATTAAATTTTAAACAATTTATTTGTTCAGTAAAATAAATTATTAGCATAAATATAACTTCACTTAAGGATTAAATAAACATTTATATTTGCATATTCCCCAGATATTTGCTATGTACGATAATTGTTCGTTAAATACGATAATTTTAAGGTTTCCATGTAATACTTCCATTTTACAGCTCTCACAACACTGAAACCGTTACTGAAGAGATGTGGAATTTCCAGAAACTTGTATAACTCAGTGGTGAATCGAATGATTTGTTTGTTTTGTTGGATTTTGCTATTCGAGCGCTGTCTGCGCTAGCTGTCCTTGATTTAAAAGTGATAGACAGGGGCAAGGCAACTAGTCAACATTACCAACCGCCAACTCTTGAGCTACTCTTTAACAACGAAAAGTTTGATTGGCCGTCACATTTATAACGCCTACACGACTGAAAGAGCGAGCATGTTCGGTGATGAAATTCGAACACACGAACAGCACTTTACCAATCGAGAGCCCTAATCACCAGGCTATGCCAGTCCGAATCCAATGATAGATCAGTTATTATATTTACTTTAAATGTTTTAGACTCTTGTCTTCTGAATAATTCAGCAGAATAAGTTAGTAGCATCGATTCTATACATTCTTTAAGTCTTATATAAATATAGGTTCACAGCTCAAGACACCACAAAGATGACATTCAGGGCGTTGTTAAGGCCAGTTTTCAGCTATCACAAAGTGTATTTTGGTCTCAGGTAATTCCTTGTTCAAAAATATACATGTTCCTTCGTATTTTATTCACGCCGATCGACCAAGTGTTATAAACTCTTTATCATTTTCTTCTAATGTCACTGGACATTTGAACTATCCATTTTATATCCATTAATTTCAGTTGCCTGAAAAATAATCACACTCCATACATTGAGGTCATGGGTATGTAAAAATAATTGCTGTCATATCCCACTATTCGATTAGAGTAGTCCAAAAATAGGAGGTGGGTGGTATTGATGTGTTGTCTACTCACGAATCTATAAGTTGCAAATTAGAGATGGCTAGGACAGGTTGGTCTTGAGTGGTTTTGCACGAATATTACAACAAGAAAAAAAAAAGAAATAATCAATTTCAAGATAATAGCTTACCAAGCACAAGTATGCTCACAACTATTTAAACATTAACTAAAATATTATTCCTGAAACATTTATTGGTTGGAAGTAAAATTAACGATGTCTCTTTCGAGATATGTATCTTTATATACATATATACATAGTAAATAATCATAGTTTGAGATTAATAACTCCTACAATAAGCCCATTTTGACCCAAAATAGTTTATCCGACTCATGTTACTATTAAACTCTCTCAAACATCACGCTCACCTGGACTCTTCAATTGGATGATAAAGTGTCAGCAGTTTTGGATGTTTAAATCGGTCAAGTTGCCTGACACTGAATCTCAAAATTTCAGTGATGGTTTCCTTTCTCTTGGGTTTGTGTAATTTATCCGCAACACGTTTATCAAAGATAAAAACTGAGGCTTCCTGAAAAATAAAATACATAAATAAATCAAGATAAATACATCATTTTCCGAAACCTTTCAAAGTATCTAGAGATAAGTCTTTATTGCTTGGAATATGAATTTATTTGTTATTGTGATAAAGCCAAAGAGAGAAGAGTGCAATAGTTTTGATAGTGATTGCCCGACGTTCATGAAAAATAAACATGCCTTGAACCTGAGTTATATCGCTTCCTCTTCCTTGTGCACGGAATATAATGAGATCCTTTATCATGGTTGTTTCGGAACATAACAAAAAAACTTAGTTGTGGTTCATGACATTTGTCTGAAATTATCATTACACACAATCAAACACCATGAAATTTTAAAACATTTAAAGTATTTCTAATTGTAGACATGTATCTTTAACAACTACTTAATTCTTTCCAGTGTAAGGAAGAAACACATTTTCCCATACATAAACCACCGTTTACATTCTCATAGACATTTTTTTAAATAACTATTTTTAATCAGTTGAGATGAAAATGAAATGGAATATTATTTGAGAAATAAATGCTAATTAAAAATGCATACTGAACTATTTGTGAGTAGTAAACAAAAGTTTTGGGAAAGAAAGTGCCTTGGTCGATAATTTAGAAAACCGCGCTACTTGGTGTCGATAATTCAGTAAACTGCGCTACATGGTATTGCTAATTCAGTAAAAGTATATTAATTTCTACCTTTACCCTAGCAGCATGGTAGTCAGAAGGAGTCTTAGCATATGAGTAAGAACGCAATTAATAATTTATTTGCAAATAAATCACCACTTATTATTATTATTTCATAACTACAAGTGTACTTACACATCTTGACCACAATTAATAACACAGTCCTGCGATGGTTTTGTTGTCTTGATATTTTTACGTGTTCTATGGTAATTCCTGTATGCTGAATCCGAAAATGATATTCACTTTTCTCTGTCGTGTGCAGATTTTCCACAAAACGTCATAACGCAATACATAAAAGAATGACTACAACACGCAGTTTTGAGACTAAAAGACGTACAATTCACACACACACACACACAAAATCAGGATGAATGAGGATGCATAATCGTTTGACATCAATTTTCTTCCCTTTTCTTCAGATTGTTAACAAACATAATAATATAAAATATTCGTTGTGGTAAACAAAATATTAATTTGATCTAAGTAAGATTTTGTTTTTTCCCAATCTGTAGAAAATCCTTACATGATAGGAATAAAAAAAAAGAATAATATTTTCGAAATCTGCGTAGATGAATTATGGAAAATCCGTTGTTAAAACCAAAACAACTTTTATGAAGTGTAAATTCGCTGGCCTATGTAATTCGTGTTTTCAGTGAGATGTGGAAGTTTTAAAGAACCCGACCCATTCTTGTATGTAATAACGTTAGAAATTATGCTTAAGAATGACATGATTATATAAAGCGTTCACATTTACCGCAGAAAAGTTTATCAGTAAATATGGAGGAAGGCAAACATAAAAATGTATGAACAAATTATGGGAATCATAGATTTATTTCAATGATAGCGATACAACAAAGAAGGGAAAAGGGAAGATAATTTTCGTTGCTGCTTTATTGTAGAATGTATATATTTGAAAGCAAAGCCACATTAGGTTATCTGCTGTGTCCACCGCGGGGAATCGATCCTCAGATTTTAGCGGTATAGGACCTTAGACTTTCCGCTGTCTTACCGGGGGACAATACCAAAGGTAGTCACTTAAAAATGACCATCAGAAGGAATAGAACGATGAAGCTCAAACATAATGGAAAGGTATATATTTCCTAATTAATGAATAGTTTTAGTGTACAGTCTTAATATATTTCCTAATTAATGAATAGTATTAGGGTACAGTCTTAATATATTTCCTAATTAATGAATAGTATTAGTGTACAGTCTTAATATATTTCCTAATTAATGAATAGTATTAGTGTACAGTCTTAATATATTTCCTAATTAATGAATAGTTTTAGTGTACAGTCTTAATATATTTCCTAATTAATGAATAGTTTTAGTGTACAGTCTTAATATATTTCTTAATTAATGAATAGTTTTAGTGTACAGTCTTAAAATACTTATTTTATTTCTTAGTGATAAATATGGTAACAAGAGAAAATAGTTGCAGTAAATAAACCGTACGAATAACACAATTAATAAGTGTACGATGTTTATCAGGTAACATAAGTTAAGCTTGTTATTTTACATGAATAACGATTCTTATGGTGTGAATGCTTTTTTTCAAGTTGGCGAAGCATGATTATAATTGTATATACTTGTTATAAGACTTGTTCTAGGGTTGATTATATTTATTAACCACGCGTTCTTCATCTAGTCTCTTAGGGATTTTCCAAAATTAGAAAAGTTTATCACAGTATTCCAGCTACACAATGTTCGCCATATTTGTTGTTGACGCGCATTTTGCTCAATCCAGAGCTCAACAGGCCGGCTAGGGCATAACATACACAGCAGTGGTCGGAACACTATTTATATAAATCACTTGTTACACCAGCAGTTGTTATGGTGTGAACGCCTTTTATAAGCTGGAGAATAATGATTATAATCAAGCATACTTGTCGTATTAGTTCTACTCTATCTTTAACCCTACATTCTTTATCTAGTACCTTAGGGATTCTCAAGAATTCGGAGAGTGAATAATAACAGTTTTCCATCCATACTATGTTCGCCATATCCATTGCCGACGGGGAGGGCCCGGCATGGCCAGGTGGTTAGAGTACTCGACTCGCAATCTGCGGGTCGCGGGTTCGAACCCCCGTCACACCAAACATGCTTACCCTTTCAGCCGTGGGGGCGTTATAATGTGACGGTCAATCTCACTATCGTTAAGTAAAGAGTAGACCAAG